ACACACACACACACACACACTTTTATATATATAGATTACATTTTTCATGTATACATTCTTTATTATAATTATTTAATTACATTGTTATTTAGTGCTATTGTACAAAGACAACCCTAACTTTTATTAAAATCTAATACCTGGAGATATTAAAGTAAATTTTTAAGTTTGAATATATAAACAGAAAAGATATACTTATTTCACTAATATTGTATTTTAGTATTTCATATACTGAAATACAAGAATACTATGTTTGACAAATAATACTTGATTTAAATTACTTAAAATTATTCATAATGTATTATTTGAATTGTTTATTTTTGAGCATTAATAAAGTCTAGTTTACATGAGTTAAAAATTGTCTATATAATGTATGCAAAATACATTATTGTTTAAATTGTAGTGTGTAAAATTAAAATAACATAAAAGCTTGAATCTGAAGATTATAGTTAAAACAAATTTGTTTTAATTCTAGAAATCTATCTTCAAAAACTCATTTAATTATTTATTGACTGTTATAAGCACATTCTAACTCATAATGAATGCTCTGTTACTAGACATATTAGCCTTTTATTATATGATTGGATGAGTGAATTATTCAATCAATCAATCAAAGCTTTATTGTATGAACTATTAGTTTGTTACAAGGGGTTAACAGAAACAAAAATTAATGGTACTATTTAACAAGTTAATAATTTAATACAAAATAACACACAATAAAATTTAGAATAATAGTCAGTTTTTTGAAAAGCATGATACATTAATTAATAATATATTTCCAAGACTTAAACCTTAATAAATACTTGTCTCTACTAACTTTAAATTTAACACAATGAAGAAATATATGTTCCCAAGTTTCGTGTACTTGCATAATACAGTTACTACATATTTTTTCAGGATCTATTGTTAATCTACTATTATATGTTAGGATATAATTTTGATTGCATCTCAAATGAAGAATTAATTGTTTAACATAATAATTTATATCCATAAGCAAATAATCTTCACACACAAATATTGTTTTAATTGAAAGTGCTTATTCTTTTCTAACAGAGACTAGTCTTCTTGTATACTTTGTTCACAGCACAGTTTTATAATTAATGGTTGATAACAATAAAAAAGAAAACCAAGTCAATCCAACAGATTTTTCAATGCTGACTCCAATTTATGTGCACCATCCTTTATCATTGAACACAATCTGGGAAGTTTATCATATGCTAGTTTAACATAGCTTTTGTCGTCTAATTTTAAGAGACCACAATAAAATTATTACTTTTATTGTAATTACTGATATTCTAGAGGCCAAAACTCCAATTGCAGCACATATTCTGAATTTTGTTGTATAACATGAAAATTTTTCTAAAATATGAAGCAGTTTATATTTTAGTAAGTGATTGCTCATATAGGAGCAGCATAAATGAAATCATTGAATGAAATAATTTTATATAAGTAGAAGAAGAGTATATTTTTGCTCTTGTGAAAATAGGCCACATATAACCCAGTACCATTTTAGCTTTATGCATATTATGGTTTTTAGCCTGTAAGAATTTTCCAGAAGATGAAAATAAAACTCCCAAGTATACGTAATTTGAAGCAACTTGTAAAGGTTGGTTATTAAGAAACTATCTTTCTTTGGGTGACATTCAACCTCCCTTCTTAAATACCATTATCTTTATTTTTGAAACATTTACAGTTAACCCAATGTCACAATAAAATTCCTCTAAAATTACAATTTTCTTTTGTAGCATTAGTGCAGAGTCAGCCAAAATTACAGTGTCATCAACATACATTAGTGCATGTATCTCAACTTGATCAAAGAGAGAAATCCCAGGTAAATCAGATTTAGTAAGTCAGACTATCAGACCATTGACATACAAATTAAAAAGCAGTGGGCTCAAAATCTCACCCTGTAAAACTCCTATGTTGTACCAAATGAATCAGTTGTTTCAGATAATACTTTCACTTTTGCAGTGGCTTTAGAAAATATATCAATCACAAGATCAAGAAACTGTTTATTTAAATCCATTCTTTCTAGTAGTGTCCATAAAACTTTATGATTGACAGTATCAAAAGTCCACAAAAAACAGCATAAAGCTTTCCTCTTTTTTTTTTTTTGTAATTTTAACTGTATCAGTGCATTTACGAGGGCTGTTCGGAAAGTTCGCGGCCTTGCCTATATGCGGTGCTGTGATCAATTTTATTTTTGGTGGGAATAATTCAGCCATCTATGCTAGAGATACAATATCAATTTCCGCTTGATTTGTCATAAAGTTTTGCCACGACAGCTTAGCAAATAGTAAGTGTGCACATGCTTTGTCAAAAATGGAGAAGACGGAGACTCGTGCGGTCATAAAATACCTGACGAAAAAAGGGTTGACCCCATCTCAAATCAAAGCTGACATGGATGAAGTTTTAGGAGAGTCTGCTCCTTCGTACACCACTGTGAAAAAATGGACAGCCCTTTTTAAATCTGGCAGAGAAAGTGTGGAAGATGACCCTCGCAGCGGACGGCCGTCAACTGCTGTCACTGAAGAAAACATCGACAAAGTTCACGATTTGGTATTAGCAGATCGCCGTTTGAAAACGCGTGAGATAGCTGAGACAACAGGCATCTCTGTCGACCGAGTGCACCACATCCTAACCGAAAATTTGGGTATGACGAAGGTCTCAGCAAGGTGGGTGCCGCATCTGCTGACCGCTGAGCAAAAACGTGTTCGCACTTTGATATCAAAGGAGTGTTTGGGCTTCTACCAGAAAAACCCACAGGATTTCTTGCGTCGGTTTGTGATTACTGACGAAACATGGATCCATTACTACACTCCTAAAACAAAAGAACAGTTAAAGCAATGGAAACACCACAGTTCGCCACCACCAAAGAAGGCAAAGACAGTTCCATCAGCAGGGAAAGTGATGGCCTCGGTTTTTTGGGATGCTAAAGGCACCATCTTTATTGACTACCTAGAAAGAGGAAACACCATTAATGCTGTCTATTACTGTGAACTTTTGGAAAAACTGAAGAAAGAAATCGAAGAAAAGAGGCCACACTTGAAGAAGAAAAAGGTTCTGTTCCACCACGATAATGCACCTGCACATTCTGCCTGAATCACTGAACAAAAGATAAACGAACTTCGCTTCCAATTATTTACACATCCACCATACTCACCTGATTTTGCCCCTAGTGACTTCCACCCTTTTCCAAACTTAAAAAAATTCTTGGCTGGAAAGAGATTCCACTATATAACTGGACTGCTGTATGTTACTATGTATATAATTCGTCTCTGTAATCCAAAAATTTCTGGTAGACGGACTCACAGCAAAACTTTTAGTTAGGAACTCACTTTTATTCTTTAAAAAATGACATACGCATTTCAGGTTGGTACATACATCCAACCCCTCCTCAGTGTCTTAAAAATAAAATTTGTGTTCCTAAATTTGTGTAAAAGTGAGTTCCTAACTAAAAGTTTTGCTGTGAGTCCGTCTACCAGAAATTTTTGGATTACAGAGACGAATTATATACAAAGAGATTCCACTCAAATGACGAAGTCATCTCTGAAGTTAATGAGTATTTTGCACACCTTGACAAATTGACCTATTGTGATGGCATAAAAAAGCTAGAACATTGCTGGAATAAGTGCATTGCTAACAAAGGAGACTATATTGAAAAATAAAAAAAGGTTTAACATTATTTTGTTTGTTGTTCTATTTGAGGCCACAAACTTTCCGAACAGCCCTCATAATATAAATACTTGATTTTGACAAGATTGACCAGGTCAAAAACCTGCTTACTCCTGATACAAAATCTCATATTTAAGTATCCATTCTTGTAGTCTTTTATTTAATAAGGATATAAATAGTTTATCAATTACATGAACCAAGGAAATAGGACGATAATTTTTTGGGTCATCAACATTGCCTTTCTTATAAATTGGTATAATCAGAGAATCAATCCAAGCTTCTGGGAAGCTACAATTTCTTTTAATAGGGTTAAAGAGTTCTAATACTGTAAGTAAGAATTTCTCTGAAAAACATTTTAGGTATTCTGTTTGAATAAGATCAGATCCAGGTTAGGTGCCAGATTTAAAGCAATTAATTGCTTTTTTTATTTCTTCCAATGTAAAATCTGAGAAACATTCTTTCCTTGTTGGAAACACTTTATGTATATCCATCGACACTTGTTCTTCATTAATATATATAAAATGATTTTTGGAGAATTTAGCAGTGTAAAAATTTAACCATCTTTCCAAAGGAATTCTTGAACTATAGTTCGATAATCTTTTACATCTGTAGCAGTTAATTGTTTGCTAAAATGTTTTAGAGTTGTTACATGTCACCAATCTTCTATTTAAGTTCAAAAAATACAATTGTTTTTTTCTTTAAACATAAACATTTGTAGTCTTTTAGACAGTTTTTATATAAAACATAATAATCATTTGTATTTGACTTTTTAGCCTTTTTAAATAACTTCCACAAATTTTTTCTTGTGTAGCACTCATTGTCATACCATTTATTTGTTATATATTTGGTACAGAGTTAACATTATAGATTAAATCCAGAGACATTGTTGCTTTAGTTATACATTCTACTAGATTTTCAGATATGACAGTTCCTCCATACTTATCTAATAAGACATTTTCTAATCTAACAGAAAATGAGGATCTAAATTCATCCCTCCATCTTGCATGTTTACCTAAAAATTGTTTATTGAATAGACTAGATGATGCTAATGGTTGTTAGTAGAACTGGTGAATGATCTGAGCATATTTCTGTTAACACAGTTAAATCATTTACAACACAAAAATATATTTCTTGTGATACTATTACAAAATCAATGACACATTGTCCTTTTATTGCACGATAAGTAAAATTACCTTCTTTGTCGTCTGGTAATAAGACCATTTAAACAAACACGATTGTTATCCTCACAAAAATTATATAAAATTTTTTCTCTGTCATTAACAATTGAATCTTTCAAGGTTCTTAGAGCCCTTTGCCAGGCCTCAGTAAAACATGACAAATAATCAGGGTGTCCCTTTCAAGTATTAAAATCAGCACATAAAATCAAGTTAGTTTCAGATTACAGGTAATTTTCTATAAGCAGTAAAATGTTCTTAAAATTGTCATCAAAATAACTATCAGGCAGAATATAAGACACTATTAGTTGGATATTGGTGAACTTTTCAGTGACTAATTGTAAAATCAAAACAAATCATGATTGGAATATAATTTCATCTTGAGAGACTATATCTTGTCTAAGTCCAACAATCAAACCACCACTGGGTCTTCCAGGACCTTCATGACGGTGTGCTACTTGATGGTAAATTTTATATTTATCAGAAAACATTGATTCAATTACTGGTGAAGTATGACATGTTTCCACTAAACAGAATATATCCATCTTATATATTAAATTCCAGACGTTAGGAAAGAAATATTTATTATTTAGACCCGCTATATTGTAAAAAAGAAGTTTGCATTATTTTCATTGTCAGAGTATAAAACATTATGTTGGTTATAATTCTCCTTAATTTCATCATCTTACTTCTCACTAAAAGTTATATTCATAAAAAAGGTTGTTCATTATCTGTTTAAAACATCTCACCTGTATAATTACAATTAAATATCTTATTGTCTACAATTAATTTATTATATCGCAATTTCACGTTAATAGCTTTTTTTTAACACATTTCTTTACCATAAAGTCTTAATCTGTTTCTGATAGCTGTAGTATTTGGTGAGTAATCATCATTAATAAATATGTTTGAACCTTTCAAGTTGCTAATATTTTTATAAATTTTTTATTTATCTTCAAAATTAAACAATTCACAAATAACCAGTCTTTTTGTGTTGGGTTTAAGTTTTCCAATTTGATAAGCATGTTTAATATTTACATCCATAATCTGCGAGTTATCGTTAAATAATTTTTGAACTTTGTATAGACAGTTGTCCATTTTATTGCTGTCCTCTAAACCCAAAATTACAAGGTTATTTCTTCTTTTTTTTCCAGTTATTTCCAGTTTCATAAACTTTTCATATAAATTATTACATATATTTATTTCGGCATTTGACTTGTCAGTTCTGACATAACCTTTCTCTTTATCAATTTCAAAGACAGAAAGTCTAGATTCAAGATCTACCAAAGCAGTATCTCTCTTTTCAATTCAGGTCTGCATTCTGTCTAATCGTTCTAAAAGTATTTAATTTATTATTTGAAGAAGCTTGTAGTTTCAACAAAAGTTTAATTTCTTTCTGAATGTTAATTTTTTTTTTTTTTTTTTTTTTTTTTTTTTTGCACTTATATAAGACAGAATCAGTTCTTCTGTTGATTCACCTGTAACATTTTCTTCACTTTTAATTCATTTCTTTACATTATGTGGTGATCCATCCTGGGATAAAGGTGAAAAAGTTTTCCTTTTCTGTGATAAAAATTCAGTCATTTTCCAAAAAGATAATGATGATAAGTCCAGATGAGTGAATTATTGTTATAATCAAATAATTAAAAATTTCAATTTTTTTTAATTAAAAAGTTTTAACATTTTACTCAAATAAAACTAAATGAAAATATCTTATTAATTTTCGATAACTGTAAATGAAGATTTTTTTTAATTTTATAAATATTTAATACTTCTTAAAAACTTTTCTACATACAAAAGAAAAAATGTTTATGAAAGATTTTGTACAAATTTCTTCCCGGTGGTTAATGCAAATTTATTTCCCACATTTAATATATCATTTCTAACTGTAGTAAAAAAATTTGTATATCTAATTTTTTGATTTCTTGAAATATATAAGAACAAAAATATACGTGAATAGGCATACAGAATTACATAGCCAAATGATAGCCTTAAATAAATACTCTTGCATTTAAGGTGATTGATTGGCTATGTGTGTGTATAGTATATATGTATGTATATATATATAATTGGGCTTAAGGTTGTTTAATATAGAATACAGTTGGTATTCACTAGAGTTTAGCTTTCAGTTGATAATGGACATTACTGAAGAAGATAAAAATTATATAGCAAAAACACATGAGCAGCTGTTAAAAGAATTGCATTTGTAACTTCTTTTGATCAAACAGAATTCATAAATAAATTATTTTTAATTAACTATATATATAATCTCTGTTAAAATTCATCAAAGATGCTCCAAAAAACCTTTAAAATGCAGCTTATTTTGCTAAAATACCAAACGTTTTCAGTCCACTTCACTGACCTTCTTCAGGCTCAAACAAAAAAGTTTATTCCAAACTGAAAATTCTTTTGCCAGAATGCAATTTTAGAATGCTACTTTTTAAAAAACAAACTATCGTAGATTCGAATGTGTGTGACCAGTTTGCTCTTTTAAACTTGCAAAACCACTGCTTTCCATGCCAATGCTAGTTCACAGGATTCCTGAAAATTTATAGATTGCCCTTTTTCATTATACTTATTAATATGCCATGCTTCTGTATACCTTAGATGCCATGCTTCTTGCAACTTTTTGTATAAGTTCTGCTTTATCCCAATTAACTGAAACCTTCGTTGGTTCTGCCATCATAATTTGCTAACGCCATGACTGCTTGCTCATATAATTCCTGTTGTGCTCTTATAATCTCTGTTAAATTGCATTCTATTATTCAAACTCAAACATCTTATGTAAGAGATTTATGCAAGATACTTGATTTATTTAATCTTTATTTAAAAAATAATAAATATTGTTAAACATTACTTTAGATGCATTTTACTTTATTTACTGATAACTTTCAACCATTTAAATTTTCAGTCTACTCATAAAATACATTCTGCTGATGGTCCACTTAATCTTGAGCTTCATTTAGTACCAAAAGTACTACAGCCTTTGGTATGTCATTGGGTTCCAGAAGCATACATTGTTTCTTTTAAGGTAGGTTTAATATTTTTAGAGAATTTTAAAAATATTATGATGATGATGATATACTGGTAAATTTCTAACCATTCTTACAATCATATTCGTATGGATAATTTAACAGGAAAAATTTAACAAAATTAAGACATCTAATTATTCTATAATTAACTTTAATGATATATTGGGTTGTTCGGAAAGTAAGTTCGTTTTTTTTTACCACTAGATGGATTAGTGGTATTTTTCCTGCCATTTTCGTTCTAAACCGTATTATCATTATATATTTTGACAGCTAGCATTTTATGGCTTATTTGTAAAAAATTTTGTTTGATTTCGTGCAATTGTTTATTTTTTGTGTCCCATCAAATATGGAAGATCAAAAGCAGCATCTTCAGCATATTTTGCCTTTTTATTACCAAAAAACAAAAATGCAATTCAAGCAAGAAAAAAATCGTATGACATGTATGGTGGAGATGTGTTGACAGAACGACAGTGCCAAAACTGGTTTACAAAGTTTTGTTCTGGCAATTTCAGTATTGAAGATGCACCACGTTATGGATAGTGAATTGAAGCCAATGAAAACAAAATAAAAGTACCGATTGAAGCAAACTGCGGAATAACAACACGTGAAATCACTAAGAGATTAAATTTGTCAAATTGAACTGTTTATGAGTACTTGAAACAAATTGGTTTCGTTTCAAACCTCGATATATGAATTCCACGAGTTCTTAAAGAGAAATGCTCTATTTGGTGGGATATTAAGTAAATTTTTTTTGGAACTTTTACCAGACAATTTAACAATTGATTCGAAAGTGTACTGTATTCGAGTAAACAAATTGCGTAATATCATCAAACAGAAAAAGCCAGCCAGAATTGATAAAAAAAAAAAGGTGTGCATCCTTTACATATCCTG